GTATCACAAAGGCTGTGAAGGATGCAGCTGCTGTAGATCAGAGGTGCCAAACAGGGTAAGCATTTATTGAAAACACTAAAACAATGTTTTTTGAACATAAATATGAATAAAAACAGACAGGAATATTGTTTCAGAATAAATACACTTAGAATAAAGAATAACTTCTAATAACCGTCATAAGTTTTCAAACATGTCTTTTCCTGTCGTTGCATCGATTTAATGTCCAATATTTCCTCTGAAGCGGGCATATTGGAGTTCAGTTCATGGATGAAGATGGCCAGCTGTGTAATGTCCATCATGTCTGTACTTTTATCCACCTCAAGACAGTAAGCTATAAAGTATTTGCTTCTTTCACACGACTGTGTTCTTAAATCAGTGGTCATCTCACAAACCCGATCAGCAACCGTATTTCTACTCAAGCTCACATTTGCCAATATCTGGGTTACCGTTACAGTTAACCCTAACACTAGCTCTTCTACTTTCTGTATGAGAACTGTGACTACATGGAAGGAGGTAACACAGACGATCCGACAAAGAAAGAAGGCACACAGACTAAATACACACAAAGGAGATTAGGGAAAGTGGAAACACATGAGGAAACAGCAAACACCACAGGGAAAGTGACACTAAAACACGCACACACACAGCAAGCTTGACGAACCAACAAGGGAGACTTAAACACAAGCATACTGAAAGTAAAAGACAGACCGCATAATGCTGTGAACAAGAACAGACAAGGCCGTAGAAGAAAATCTAAACCATGATGAAACTCAGCTAAAACCTAAATGATGATCAACACCAGAACTCAACATATGTTCATTATCATGGGAGAGAAGAAAAAACTATAAAAACAAATCGAAAAGATGGGTCGCAGACCCTGACACAGAACAGAAACTGGACTTGATTGACACTCTGAACTATTGAATCTGTAGATTTTGTCTCATTAGCGCTTCATTTTGCCGAGCCATGAATAACAATATGAATGAATCTATATAAAAAGGATCTTGCAGGCATATAAATGTACGCTGGGCTGGATGTGGCCCACGGGCCTCGAGTTTGACACGTATCCTCTAGATACTGAACAACTACAGAAAACTACATTTCTCCTGTGGCCTGCAGGTTCTGCATCTCACCGTCTGAAACACACAACGTAAACATCACTTTAATACTTTTTGCTTGTTAGAATAATGAACTACAGAAAGACGTCATCTTACCTAATAACTGCTGAGCACTGTTTGACTGGGACACAATGGGCACCTCTGCAGTCGACTCTGAATCTATATAGAAATGATCTCGCGGGCCGGATATAAATATACATTGGGCCAGATGTGGCCCGCAGGCCTCGGGTTTGACACACATGATGTAGATTGATGGGTTTGTAAACGAGATAATGAAAGATTATATTAGGTAAACCTGTACAACTGCTCACCGATGCAAATATTTAATTAGCCAATCACATAGCAGTAGCTCCACGCATTTATGGACGTAGATATGGAAAAGAAGTTTAACAGGTTTGGTTGTTGGTATTACACAGGCTGCTCTGAGTATTTCAGAAACTACTGGGATTTTCTACACACAGCCATCTGTAGGGGTTACAGAGAAGCTTTTAGACTTGACAAATATTCAGAGAACAGCAGTAACGCCTGAAAGCACAATTCTTATTACAGTGTTTAAAGAAATCAAAGATACTTGTAAAGGTTTTTTTTTAACTCTAATAACACATTCAAGATGAACACGTTGGCAGTGATGTTGCCACAGAGACGTTTTCCTCCACACAAATCACTACAGTTACTTTAGCTTCAGCGTTGTTACATCACTACAGAAAACCTAGAAGCAAAAACACATTTGTGCTTGTTTCTTGAACTCTAAGAACTATAAAAATGGATGATTTTGAGATTGATGATGGTCTCGATTGCTTTAGTTTCTCTGTTTTAAATATGATACAAGACCAGAATTAATGAGAGGTGCAGACACACAGACGTTCTGCTCAAGATTAGATACAAAATGCAGCTGTAAGAATAGGAAATGTGTATATAGTTTCAAATGTTCGTTGGTTGTAAACGTGAATGATTATCCGCACATTCATTTCCCGACTTGAGAGCGAGATGATGTTGAGGTATTCTTATATATTTATTAAAGACATTGTCTTGCTCTCTGGCACGGAAAAGTGCAATACTGTCTTTGTGAATGAAGTCGAGAGTGAGTGAGGAACAATGCATTCCTCTCATTATTTTATGCTACGCGGAAATTGATGGCCATCTAACATAGAATGACCGATAAATACATAGACTAGAAAAGCATAAAAATAGGTCACTCATGTGAAAACAAACTGTGACATTTTTCGCAAGTCATGCAGAAATGTGTTCGTGTTTGTGTTAATGCGAGTTATAAATACTCTACCTTGTTTAAATGATTCTAGTTTTTTAAAAAAGACGAGGCTACACACGCTGTGGCTCAAAGAGATTTAGTTATGTCATGGCTTATAAAAAACACAATTTAGTATTGACGTCATATATTAATATTATTATTCTATAGAAGTCCAGCCTGGATTGAAGAGATTCTGCAGCACGGTTCGTGCAGTTAAAGGTGCTTGTGAATCGAAAAGGCATTCAGTCACATGACCTTTAAAAACTGCAGAATTTTCAGGATACTCCAAAGATGTACATCTTTATAGCTGCAGATATTTCTCTTTCAAAAAAGGAAAAAAGTACCACAGGAATAACTCAAAGGGAGTACAAATAAAATGAAATTAGATTTTATTCACTCGTTTTTTAGCTCCCCTCCTTTCAATGCAGTGTTTAAATTTGCAGTTTGTATGTTGGTTGTAATAGTTTCTTTCATACAATACGGCGTACCTTACTCAGTCAGAGTGGAGGTCTCTTTAGTCTGTGATTGAGACGGCGTATCAGAGCTTGGAGCGAGAGTCGCTCATCAGTGTTTAAATTTGCAGTTTGTATGTTGGTTGTAATAGTTTCTTTCATACAATACGGCGTACCCCTTACTCTCATAGTAGGAGCCTTTAGTCTGTGGATTAACGGACAGACTGACTCAAGTGTCTGTAGGCCTAATAGGAGAGATCAAGTCATGGCTACGGCCACCAAAGTATTCAGAACTGCTAGTGTTAGTGTGGTTTTGACTGAAAGCTTGTTAGCAATCACGTCACAGGCTGTAGTCATTTCCCGACTCATCCAGAGATCTCAGAGCTTCACTCTGACCAAAACAAAAAGGTCTGTGATTTCTGATAAGACATCGGCTTTCCTGAGGTCGTGAGGAGAGGTCATTATTGTCATTAATCTTGGAATGTACTCTCAATTAATAGATTTAGAAAGAATACAAATATACCTTGAAAACAAGTTGTTTTTTCCCCTCTGTGGTTGTTTAAAGTACATTACAAGGACAATATAGTACAAAGAAAACGTAGTGAACTTTTCAGCTCCGCTGCACTTAAACCTTATAATAACAAACAAACAAGGTAACAAACAAGATTTAAATCCACACGAGACAATCTCATTGTATCTTCCTTTGTTACTCAAACTAAACTTGAACATTTTAAAAGGTATCTACATTTCATAATGGAGTGTATCTCCTGACTTTCCTGAAGGAGGAATGATTAGGAAAAAATCCTCAAAACAAAACAACCAAGAGTTTATCTCCAGCGCGGCCTTGTGGGCAAGACCGAGTCCTGAGAATGAGCGGACTTGTCACTGTCACTGTCATTCCGTCTGTGGCCTTTAGGGGGAGCCAGCAAGTCGTGGCGCGATGCACGAGGAGATGATTTGACGCTCTGAGACTTCCTCTGTGAGGAGGGGGAGAGTTTTTGGACATCTGAGGATCTTGCTGACGCATGGACTCTTAGTGATCTTGATCGCGTAATAGGCAAGGAGGTGCTGGATGGGGTAACAGGGGAGGAGGTCTTGGAAGAAGGTTTGGGGGAGGGGTCTGACCCAATGTTGGGGGAGTGGGAAGCAGCAGGAACAGCAAGGTTGGTGTGAGTACGTCTGAAAGAAGAAGAGGCTGTGCTCCGTGCAAAACCCGGAAACACAGATGACGAAGAGCTAGTGGCTTTGCGCAAAGGAGTGGCAGGAGCACTGACGCTGCCTCCTGCTCCACTTCTTCCACCCTGAGAGAGTGCCCGCAGTGTGGAGCGACAGATCTTCTCCTCCTGCTGGGCTTTAGGTTTCATTAAGGGCTTTTGGCTGGACATCTTTCCTTGAAAGTCCTTGTTCTGTTCTCGGGCAGATGGCTGAGTACCTGAAACATTCTGGTTCTTTGAGTCCTTTGGATCCAAAGTCTTGGGGATCCCAGATTGTCGGGATGAAGGAGCATTTGCAGGCCTCGCTACTCGTCGAGGGGAAGCACTGCTTCGTTTTGAGGGAGTCAGACTGGTGGGCACTGCGGTGCTGGAGGAGCCTCGATTCTTCTCTGTATGTTTGATTCTGGATGGACTTCTGTTGGTCCTGGATATTGGCACAACCCTCCTCATGTCCTTGTTCTCGGAGGTTGTGAGGGTCCGGATAGATTTGGATTTGCCAGATGCAGAGATAGTGTTTGGGGTAGGTTTCTTCCCATTAGTTTGGACTTTAGACGTAGGAAGGCTCTTGCTGGGTAGTTTAGATGGAGTTGCTGGTTCTGCTTTTACTTTGGTGGAGGAAGCTGCTTTTGCAGTTTTACTGGTTGAGTCTTTAGATGCCATGTTGTTTTTGCTTTTCTCTTCTGTTGATTGTTTTGAGACGGTCACTCCATCACTGTTCCTGTTGGTGGACACTTCTTCCTCTTCCTCCAGTTCTTTATCTTTCTCAGAAGCATCTGCTGTGAGAGCAGGCACTACATTAGGTGTTGGAGGTTCTTTCAGGCGCCACACAGAGGAAGAAACAAGCAGTGATGTGTCATCACAGCGGGGGACAGGCACTGGTTGGCTGCTGATGGGTACAGGCACTGGTTTTTCATTGGCCGGTTGAGGTTCTGAAGGCATGTCATTGGCTAAAGCAGAGGAAGTTTGTTTGTTTCCACCTTGGTTGTCACCCTTATGCTGATCTTTTTCAGTTTCTGCATAGGTGCTTTGTGTGTCACTTGTAGCCTCGCACACACCCGTCACACACCATACAACCACCTTATCCTCTTGCCCCTCATCGCCCTCTCTTTGTGTTGAAGAAGAGCAGAGCTCACCGACTTGCTCATCAGATTGTTTTGTATTTACAATCAGTTGGCCATTATTATGCACCTTATCAACTTGCAAGTCATCCCCTTTCTCTTCTTCCAAATCTGTGATTGTCACATCATCTTGATGAAGACCAACATGTCTGTTTTCGCTATGACTTGTGAGGGTGTCGCCACTGCCAAACACTTTTAGCTCAGGAACCAACGTGCATTTGTCTAAAACCACCACCATGTTTCCTGTAGCAGTGGTACTCTGCTGAAAGCTCTTATCAATGCAGTCAGTCTGCTGAGTTAAAACCAGTTCAACATATTTTGGTTTGCTTGTTGTAAGTGTTGCATGGCTGCTTAAACCCATGCCAGGTTGATCACTGCTGCTTTTGTTGTTGTGTTCAGATTGCTGGTTTGAGTCAGAGGTAGGTTTGACTGCAAGTTCATTTGCAGGATTAGTGGCATTTGCACACGTCTGGGTAGCATTTTGGCTGAGGTAAGTGGCAGTTGCATGGTTTTTGTTTTTTGGACTCCTTTTGGAAGGTGATGAGGAGTTTTGTGGTGCCGTCTGGGTGGACACTGGGAATCCTGGACTTGAGGGAGATGGAAAACTGCTCCCTTTGCCTCTTTGCTGAATGTTTTTGCGATCAGTCGCCTTTTCCAGGAAAGTGCTTAGTTCCTGCTCAGCAGCAATAGATGGTGAGCAGGATGGAGACTTTCGGGAACGACGTAAGCTCACAGCACGTCCCAGAGGACTGTGGGAGTTGTTCACTGGTGAGCGAGGGTGGGACCTAGGGGTCAGGAGCTCCATCAACAGTCCGGCCTCGTCATGCCGCGACAAAGCAGTGGACATGTCAAGCTCACTGTGGCAGCGCAGCCCAAAGACTCCATCCACCTATAACGGGAACAGAGAGTGGATCATCGTTAGACATCTTTGATTGACTTTGTTTTACAGTGTCTGCGTACGTCATCCTACCTTTTCTCCTCCAGCCCAGGAGTGCCTCTTCTTCTCCTCCAGCTCTTGTATCCGCTGACGACGAGCTGCCTCCTTCGCCTCCCTCTCCATGTTCTCCTTCAGAAAGAGAAAGAAGTTATTTTCCTGATGCACGTGACTCTTCTGGTCCTCCATAGCCTACAGATATTATGCATGTTGAAAAAAAAAAATTCAGATCCTGATGCACAGATCAAAGCAAACAAAACAAAAAAATAAAGCAAACTGTGAACCCTTGGGCCTTAAATACAGCTTCTCCTCTTATGCCTGATTTATGGTCTGGTATTTGTGTCTCTGTCAACAGCTCATCGTGAGAGAAGGGTTTGGGAATTGAAACTACTCAGAGGCAATGGAGACACACTTGAGCCAAAAAGCCAACAATGGTGAAATTGTTGGCAATCACATAAAACAGAAGGTTTAGAAACTAATATGTTTCACTGTAAATCAGAAGTGTTATGAAATATGGGATGAAGACTAATGTATCAGTTGAAGTATACCAACAGTTTTAACCACATCTACTGGATCTTGTGTGGATTGTTGTACAGCTCGTGTAATGGATTTACATTCATAGTTGTACCTTGACAGCATTTGTGAACCTGGAGCAGAAGGTGTGGAAGATGCTGAAACAGTCGTCCAGCCTGAAAGTGTCTCTGTCCTCGCAGAAAAAGTCGATCAGCTCGCTGCCTTCCCTCTTTAGCTGTTGCCGACTGCCGCGGAGTGAGCAGAGAGATGATGTGGCATGCTGAGACAAACATAATAGGCACAAAATTATTTTTAAACTACACACT